CTCAGGCGGGGCTTGGGGCGGTGCTTCTCTTGGCCCTCAATTTTGGTGGGTCTGGGGGCTTAAACTCATCTTCTTCAGCCTGACCTTTCTTCTCTTCCATTGTTCTTGACCCGCTCACTGAAGCTTGGAAAAAACCCTGGCTCCAGGCCTATTTCTCCTATTCAAATGTCTACCTGATCCTGCTATATTTCTAATTTATTGCTTCTAGGCCTATTACATGTTCTTGTACTATTCTCTGAAGCTTTGGTCCAGTAAGTAGAACAGAACGAGCACAGATCATCTTGGATGTTGGTAGCTTGTTAGCAGGTCCAAATTTCTTAGTTAACTCTTTTGGGCCTAGCCTCCTGTTTCAGTCCCAACCTCCCATTCCTCTGTCAGTGGAGAAGGCTCTCCTCGTACCATCACCCACTTCCACTGCTGAGAAACTCCTTTCCACTTTGACAGCTTGGAGAGTGTCTGCAGGGGTGGGAAAGTCAACACGGAGGCCAGGCTTGAATTCAGCAGAAAGATGTGAGGAGTCAAAAGAGGGAAAGGACGTCCCTGCATGTGGAGGACAGCAGTGCAGGGAGCCCGGGGGCATCTGAGAGTCTGTCCTCCTTGGTGGAGGAGAAGTTCCTGCATGGTGCCTGTCTGCCTGTCCCTTAGAGGGAGAGGAGACAGATGGGCCCCACCAGGCTGACCTTGGTGGGACCTTGCTGCCAAGGGGAAGCAAAGCAAACAAAGAAAAGGGAAAGGCAAAGCCATTCACCTCTCCTGGTACCAACATGGAAAAATGTCCATCCTCACTCAGCCCAGCACCATGTTCTGAGTCCCCTGAGGTGTCTCCCTGGGGCTTTCCCAGTATCTTCTTCAGGGGAGGGACCTTTTGCCACAATAGCATCTGAAGATGTGGGAGCGGTTGAAACAAAGAAGATAAAAATACATGGCTAAAGTTTAAGGCCTATGTTAACATAACCTTCAGAACTTAGCATAAGTATGACTCTGTAAAAGTAACTGCTTGCAAGTAGAAAAACAACATGGCTGGAAGGGGAAACACCCAACTGGAAGGGAAAGATAATAGCTGGAAGAAGTGCTTCAGGACACAGCAGGTGTAATCAATAGCTTTACAAGGGGTCTAAAGGATGGATGGGGAATGTTGCTGCTTGGAGTGATAATCATATGTAATAGCAGGTATAGAGAATAGGTAACCAAGTGTATAGTTAGATAAGACATCTACCCACCTAACTTTGTACTGAACCTTGAAGAATGTACGTGTTAGATAAAATTCAGAGCTTGTTTACTTCCATGTATAAATGCTTGTTGGGTTCTGGCACTCGTTGGACATGTATATGGCAGTGCTACCCCTACGTGTACCCCAGCTGAGTAAAGGTGTGCTTTATCTATACACTGCGTACCTGCTGTGTAGAAATTGCCTTGAATCAAGGTCACAGCCCCCGGAGTTGATGGGCACTCCGTCACAGCTGAGGATGCTGCCAACGGCAGCAGAGGTGGAGGATCCCACCACGGTGTTCTGTGGGAAGGAGCTGAGGATGGGCCCGGGCAGGGTCACCAGCACAGCCGGTGGCTCAATGACAACGGTGGAGCTCTGGCACTGCCTGACACAGCACTCATTGCAGCTGTTGGCCAGCGGGGTCGGGCCGCAGGGTTGGTAGGAATGGCATGGGATGTAACAGGACATGGGATGCCCAGTGTTGGGGGGCACCTGGGAGAGGGAGCAGACAAGAAACAGAGCACAAGCGTGAATAAGAGCAAACAAGGTCACTGCTGAACTGGGAGCTGCAGGCATGGCAAGGAGCCACACCTTCTTCCTTGTGCTGCAAAGAACAGCCTGGCCCAGAGAGTCTCCCTCCTAAATTGTTAAGCAAAAGCCACATTCCAGCCTCTCTCTAGCACATATTTTACAGCCAACAACTTGCCATGACAGCAAGCTCCAGGGCCCAGCACAGGACACAGCCAGAATCATCTGAGATGTCCAGCAAGCGGAGATCTCGCTGTGGAAGAGGAGGAGAAGGGGCTTCAGACTCACCTGGTTCCCAAGCAGAAGGAGATAAGAGAAGCGGATGAGACAGCAGGGGCTGGGGCTGCCTTTTCTACCTGCCCTTCACCGCCACTGGACCAGGGACAGCCTTTGCAGAGGTAACAATTTCATCTTGAATGCAAACCATCACAGCTGATGGTACAGGCTGTGCTTTGGTTTCCAAACTGCTGCCTTTTCATTTCTGGGTTTCTTCCATGCCCCAAGGATGGCTTTGTTTGAACCCTAGGATTTCTAGGGTAAGAATGAAATAATGCAGCTCAGGACTCAGCTCCAGGGCTGGATGGATCCAGAGCAGGCAATGATGTGTCAGTCTGGATCACTCTGGTGGGGTTGCTTAAAGTGCTGTTTTCAAGAAGAAGCTGCAACAATCCTCTGTGGATACCCAAGGACTCCTGGGCATGAGGATGGGCCATGTCATTCCCTTTCCCTCCCTCCTCAGCTCACCCCAATGGTCACTGGTTGTTGCCTCTCTACGTGTGTGCTTTGGGCGGCTGCTTTGACCCCGTCCTGCCTAACACTGCCCTCAGGAAAGCATTTGGGTTTATTTTGAATCTTCTGTCTGTGTGCAGCCTGTGAGTACACAAACAATGCCACGGGCTTCCCTGGGGCCTTGTCCTTCCCCACAGTGCCCCAGCCCTGCGGTGTTGTCCCCAGGTGTCCTCAGCAGAGTCCGTCATTGGTTGTATTCCTGGTTTGAGTGCACTTGTGTGCAGCCAGGTTAGTGTGAATTCATGTGCGTGGGTTTGCATGGCGAGGTTTTGGTACTGGGGGAGCACTAAAGGGGTACCTTCTCTGAGAAGCTGTGAGAAGCTTCCTCCATGTCCAACAGAACCAATGCCAGTCAGCTCCAGGACGGACCCACCGCTGGTCAAGGCCGAGTCAATCATCAATGTCAGTGACACACATCTGTGACAACACTTGTAACAGGGGAAAAAATGATTGTGCAGAGGAAACTGCAGCCAGAGGGCAAAGGAGTGAGATGGGAGCAGAAATCACCTGCAGCCCATGGAGGAGCAGGTGAATGCCTGAAAGATGGCTGTGAGCCTGTGGGAAGCCCATGCTGGGGCAGGCTTCTGGCAGGGACCTGTGGACCCACAAACTGAAGAGCACATACTAGAACAGGTCTCTAAGAAGGACTTGTGACCCTCTGGGGGACCCAGGCTGGATCAGTCTGTTCCTGAAGAACTGCACCCCGTGGAAAGGGACCCACGCTGGAGCAGTTTATGAAGAAGCATAGCCCAAGGGAAGGACTCACACTGGAGAAGTCTGTGGAGGACTGTCACCCATGGCAGTGACCCCAGGCTGGGGCTGGGGAAGGAATCCTCTCCCTGAGGAGGAAGCAGCGGCAGAGACAAGGTGTGATGAACTGACCACAACCCCCATTCCCCACCTCCCTGTGCCACTGGAGGGGAGGAGAGAGAGAATTGGGAATAAAGTTAAGTCCAGGATGGAGAGAGGGGTGGGGAAAAGGTGATTTTAGCATTTGTTTTGCTTCTCATTATCCTGCTCTAGTTTTGATTGGTAAACAATTCAACTGATTTTCTTAAGTCAAGTCTGTTTTGCCCATGCAAGTAAACAGTGAGTGATCTCTCCCTGCCCTTAACTCATGAGCTTTTCATGATGTTTTCTCTCCCCTGTGCAGTTGTGGAGGGAATGATAGAGCAGCTTCAGTGGGCACCTCTGAAGTGCCTCTTGCCTGTAGTGACCTTTGGTGAGATCATTGCCAGGGAGCTCTGCTGGGAGAGCTCAGCCAGGCCAGATTCCCCCTCCATGGAGATGCTCTCGGACTGAGGCACTCGTGGAAGTGAGAACAGAGCTCATTGATTTCTCCCCAGATCACAACTCTGTGGAGATGGGAGGGCAGCACAGGTGTGCACCTAGAGGTTCACCAGACCCTTGACACCCTCCACCCATACAGCCTCTGCAGGCTGGGAGCTGTCTGTCTAGGAAGCAGATCCATGGAACAGGATGTGGGGTTTTAGGAGACATCTGGCAGAACATGAGAGAGCAGCGCCCTTGCAGCAAGGAAGGTCAAGTGCATCTTGAGCTGTGCTAGTTGATAAGCTGTGAGCAGGTTCAGGGAGGTGACCCTGCCCCTCTGGCTCGTTGGAGGCCACATATGGAGTATTTCATCCACCCTGAGGCTCCCCAGTCCAACAAGACTATCAACAGACTGCAGTGAATGCAACAAAGGCCACCAAGTAGATTTGGGCACTGGTCAAACATGACATGCAGGGGCAGGCTGACCAAATCGTGTTACTTGTCTTGGAGAAGAGAAACCCTTCCATTCCCCTCATGGTTTTGCAGGACTTCATCTTATCCCGAGAGTCACAGTTGCTTTCAGATCTGTCTCTCTCAGGCCACAGATGGCCACATAACCTTGTCAACCCTGATCTTCCACCTGTCCTAGCCTTGTGCTCCATGAATGCAGACTGCATCTCCATGACTCCAAAGAAGGTGGGAGATGCCATGCCATGTCCGGGCTTTCTCTGGCTGAGCCCGGGATGCTGAGCCCAGAGGGATGTTCTGCCTCTCGTGCCCCTCGACCATTCTTACAAGCACGTGCCCTGGAGGACAATTCAGGAGTCCCCAGGTGCCAGTGAAGGAGGGATGTGAGGGAAGAGATGATGGCGGTGAAAGGAGCTCATGGCCTGTCCATGTTGAGCTCCCCGATACCAACCCGCTCCTCTGCCAGCCAGCCCGGCCCCGCCGCCCCGCAGTGCAGAGCCCCGACCGCCGCCGCGCTGCCGCCGCTCTCGCCTGCCCTCGGCATCCAGCCCGCCCCCGGCGAGAGCCCGAGCGGCGCCGGCGCAGGGCTCAGCCCCGGGGCGGAGCTGGCGGAGGAGGGCAGGGGAGGGAGAGGAAGGCAGAGGACGGAGAGGAGGCGGAGAGGAGGCGGCCCGTCCGGAGCCGAGAGCCGGGGCTGGCGGGGGCAGCGAGGCGCGGGCGGCGGAGCGGCGGGATGCGGCGCTGGCGGGGCGCGGGGCTGGCGGCGCTGGCCGCGGTGCTGCTCGGTGCGCGGGGCTGGCGGCGGGGGACCCTGGGGGCCGGGGGCTTTGTGGGACGGGGGCTCGGCACAGGACTATTCTCTGACACTCCTGCACATCCTCGGTTCTAATTTACGCTCTTTCCCCGCCTTTGCCGTCATGCTTTTCCCCTCCAAGAAGTCATTTCCTCCCTGCTCTCTCGTCATTGTTACTCTGTTTTTTAATCCATCCATCCATCCTTCCCTCCATCAATTCCTCCCAACCAATCTCTTTTCCTCTTTCCCTTCTCGTCTTTTTATCTCAGACTTTCCTTCAAAACATCCCTCATACTTTTGTCCACAACCAACTACCCTCACAGAAACAGTCTGGCCAAAGTTTATTCTCAGCACATATCCCCGTCAGCACTGTCATCCCCTGCCTCTGCACGGCATTTTCCGCTGTAGAAAAGTCATTCTTCTGTTCTCCCCGGCAGTGGCTGCAGGAAGAGCCCGGGTGCAGCAGGAACCGTTGGTAAAGACCACGGAAGGCACCGAAATCACCATCAACTGCTCACACCCAAAAATAGAGAGGAACGAAATGATCTACTGGTATCGTCAGCTCCCGGGCAGCGGCCCCGAATTCCTCGTGAGCTTTCACAAAGGCTCCAAAGAGCTGCCGGACAAGGCGGGTCAGGTGTCGGTGTCGCCAGACCGTCGCTGGAGCACCCTCTGTCTCTCCGGGCCCCGTGTTGGGGACGCGGCGGTGTATTACTGCGCCGTGGGAGACACGGCCAGAGGAGCCGGGGCTGCGGCCGGGCACGAACCGCCGCGGGCGGGGCCGGGCGGGGCCGGGGGCACAGCGCCGGCCGGGGCCAGCAGGGGCCGCTCCTGCACCTCCAAGATTTCTTTCTCAAACCATGTCCCGCCTTCCTGGGCCCCCTTGTTTCAAAGGGCTGCTTTCCAAGGGGCTTTCCGAATCGGTGTCCTCAACAGGCCCAAGTCCAACCTCCAGAAGTCGAGGGTACAGGTTTGGTTGATGCTCCCCCTTACTTCACCAAGTGTGGAAAACTCTAACATTTCATGGTCGCTGTGCTCCAGATGGCCTTTGATCAGCACATCTCTCACCAACCCTCTTCTGTTTGCAAACAGCAGGTCTGGGTGCTGTATAAACTACTCCACGATCAAAAGGGGCTTCAGACTCACCTGGTTCCCAAGCAGAAGGAGCTAAGAGAAGTGGATGAGACAGCAGGGGCTGGGGCTGCCTTTTCTACCTGCCCTTCACTACCGCAGTACCAGGGGCAGCCTTTGCAGAGGTAACAGTTTCTTCTCAAGCTCCTCTTGAATGCAAACCATCACAGCTGATGGTACAGACTGTGCTTTGGTTTCCAAACTGCTGCCATGCTCATGCCCCAGTGAAGACTTCTTGTGATTTTTGGGATGAAATGTTCCAGGATTTCCAGGGCAATGGAGTCGTAAATGTCAGGAGCACACTCAGCTCCAGGGCTGGATGGATCTGGAGCAGGCAAGTGATGTGTCAGTCTGGATCACACTGGTGGGCCTGTTTGAAGTGCTGTTTTCAAGAAGAAGCTGCAGCAATTCTCTGTGGCTACCTAAGGACTCCTGGGCATGAGGATGGGCCATGTCATTCCCTTTCCCTCCCTCCTCAGCTCATCCCAATGGTCACTGGTTGTTGCCTCTCTACGTGTGTGCTTTGGGTGGCTGCTTTGACCCCGTCCTGCCTAACACTGCCCTCAGGAAAGTATTCGGGGCTCTTCTGACTTCTGCCACACTGGTCAGTCTCTGAGCACACAAACAGTGCTATGGGCTTGCCTGGAGCCTTGTCCTTCCCTGCCCTGCAGTGTTGTCCCCAGGTGTCCTCAGCAGAGTCCATGGTTGGTTGTTTTCCTACGTGGGTTCCTGGTTTGTGTGCACTTGTGTGCAGCTGGGTTCCACATGAAATCCTGTGGGAGCACAAATTTGTGCATGAGTGTCAGGGTTAACAGAGAACCTGTCAGCAGCCTGGCAATTAGTGACGAGGAATTTAAACAACTTTTAGGAAATATTTACTGTAATGGCAGACAGAACAAACATAATGCAGCCCAGACCAAAGGTCACCAATCAAAATGTGTATAGTGTCACCAAAAGGATGTCACAGCATGGACAGTCTCTTCAGTGTCACCAATAAGAGTGTGTGCAGTGTCTTCTGTATCACCAATTAAAGTATATACAGCGTTTTATGCTTGAGACTTTTGACCAATTGTGTTGTGGCACGATAGTGTACAAAGAGTACAAAAGAAACACTTGAGAGCAATAAACAGCTTCCTGATCACCTTACACCTGGACTACATCTGATATCTGTGTCATTTTGGCAGTTCCAACTTTACCAACGACACGAATCCACACCACTGTGCCTGAGCCTCTCTGTGTGTGTGTCCTTGTGTGTAACTCAACAAGTGAAATGTGCTGGTTGCACTGGGAACACTCCATTGCTCTGCCCGTGAGCAACACAGAGCAGCATTTGCCCAGATTCAGGAGGAGCCTGAGTGCATGTGCTGGTTTTGGCCTGGGTGGAGGAAGCTTTCTTCACAGTGGTTGTTATGGGGCCATTTTTTGGATTTGTGCTTAAGCCAGGGTTGATAATACAGGGATGTTTTTGTTATTGCTGAGCTTACACAGAGCAAAAGCCTTTTCTGCTTTTCCTGCTGCCACGCTGGCAAGGAAATTGGTGGTGAATTGAATGCTGGGAGGAGCCAGAGCCAGGATAGGTGACTGACACTGAGCAAAGGGATATGCCAGATCATATGACATCATGCTTGGTGTTTAAAGCTTTGGGGGAAGAAGGAGGAAGGGGGGGAAATTTGTCATGATGGTGTTTGTCTTCCCAAGCACACATCATGCGTGATGGGACTGGCAGCCCCTCCACCCTCACCACACCCACACACTGCTCCAGACCAGCACACACCTGCTCTCCCCAGTGCTGGAGACCTCAAAAGGATAACGTTGGTTTCATGGACAGGCAGAACGACTGAGGGTTCCTGCCCCCCTCATGTATCCACCTGTGTGGATCTGCTTCCAGTGCAGTGCTGGGGGTGTTGGGTGGGACACAGCTCCCTCTCCTGTCCAAGCCCCTGCCCAATGTACCTGTGCAGCCCATCGACCAGGTGCTGAGTGAAGCAGCCACAGAGACGTTGTCCCAAACGGGGAATGAAGGAAAGGGACACGGCCCTGAGGTCACTGCGCTGTGAGAGGAAGAACAGCCCCTGTGTCTTGCAGAGGGAAAGGCAGAGTTCTGGCGACTGTTTTGGACTTCAGCCCACAAGGACCTTGTGGCAGTTTGAGCCACATTAGAAATCTAAAATCCAATTTCCAGGCTTCCCCCACCCCTTCTCAACAATTTATCCTAACACCGGAGAGAAACTTTCAGACCAGAGGCTACTGTAGGGGAAGGGGGAAGTATATACATTTATTTACGCAAATAAATACTATACAAACTAAAGGCAACTATATATATATATTACATTTCTATCAGTCAGTCCTTTCAAGCCCCTCCTTCAACTTTAGTCCAGGAGCAGCCTTTAAGGCTGATATGTAACACAGTCTTTTGCTGTGGGGGTGTTCTGGGCTCCTGAACACTCCCCCCTCACCAAGTTCCAGCGTTGTTTGTTGCAGTCTCTCCTCACAAAGTCCAAGAAGATAGCTTTGAGTCCTTGCTCTTCTGTTGCTGGTGATTTCTCCCTCTCAGTGTCTCACCTCGGTTTGTAGGATGCTGCAGTGCAGCTTATCAAGTGTCTGTGTCCTGGAATCTTCATTCCTCCACGTCAGTTTTCGGCTGCCCCCGATCAGCTTTGACAGGCAATTCCCGAGCTCTTGGCTCGCCTCCACTTTCACCTGGGATTCTTCTCCTGAGCATGGAGCTGATTTATCAGCCCATCCACTTGGTTCTGCTCAAATGCTGAGCCTTAAAATCCACTCCCCACTAGCCTAAATGTAGTGCAGGGAAAAAGCTGCCTAGCCTTGGCCACAGGCAGCTCGGTTCAATTATACCCTGTCCCAAGTGTCCTGCAGCTGCAGGGGGGGGGGAAAGAAGGCCTGGCCTCCTCCCTCTTACCTCAGGCACTGTGAAATTCTTCTTTCACAGCACACACTCCAAATGCTGACTCTAACTCTAGCCAAAGGCTGAGTTGGGGGGTCGCAGGGCTCCCCTCTTCCCCCCGGAGGAGAAGAGAGGGAGCCCAGTCACCCCCTGGCCTTGTCCACCTACCTGCAGCAGACACCAACAGCAAAACAACCAAGACAGAACTTGCTAACAGCTTCCAGTACTGTGATATATGATTTGGAGCAGAAGCGAACAACATGAGAGGTGATTGGCTCTCCAGGGTACATTGTCCTGGCACCCAATCACCTCTGAGCCCCCCCAGCCTCTCAAGGGAGGCCAATTTCAAACTATGACAACCTTTATCCCCCACACTGGAATCTCAGTCTGAGAGTCCAGGAACTGTCACTGGGAGTGAAGTGTCAGTGCATTCCAGACCACATGCTTCTCTCCCACAGGGATGAAGGAAACAAGTCCGATTTCAACCAGGGACTGTGCAGAGTGGGTAAGGCTCACAAGCCCATCTCCCTGCCTGGATGTCTGATAGACTGGGCATGTCCAGCTTGGAGACAGAGCAGCTGAGGGCTTCCTCTCTTCCCTCTAGCAAGCTTCATGAGATCATTGCCAGGGAGTTCTGCTGGGAGAGCTCAGCCAGGCCAAACTCCCCCTCCATGGAGATGCTTTTGGGCTGAGGCACTCGTGGAAGCTCATTGATGTCTCCCCAGGTCACAGCTCTGTGGAGATGGGAGGGTAGCACAGGTGTGCACCTGGAGGTTCACCAGACCCTGGACACCCTCTACCCGTACAGCCTCCACAGGCTGGGAGCTGTCTGTCTAGGAAGCAGATCCATGGAACAGGATGTGATGTTTCAGGAAACACCCGGGAGAACACTGGACAGCAATGCCTATCTTCCTGGACCTTTATCCTCTCCCTGGGTACACAGTGGCTTCCAAATCCATGTCTCTCATGTCCTGGGTGACCACATTGCCTTGTCATCCCTGACCTTCCGTCTGTGCTCCATGAATGCAGACTGCATCTCCATGACTCCAAAGCAGGTGGGAGATGCCATGCCATGTCCGGGCTTTCTCTGGCTGAGCCCGGGATGCTGAGCCCGGAGGGATGTTCTGCCTCTCGTGCCCCTCGACCATTCTTACAAGCACGTGCCCTGGAGGACAATTCAGGAGTCCCCAGGTGCCAGTGAAGGAGGGATGTGAGGGAAGAGACGATGGCGGTAAAAGGAGCTCATGGCCTGTCCATGTTGAGCTCCCCGATACCAACCCGCTCCTCTGCCAGCCAGCCCGGCCCCGCCGCCCCGCAGTGCAGAGCCCCGACCGCCGCCGCGCTGCCGCCGCTCTCGCCTGCCCTCGGCATCCAGCCCGCCCCCGGCGAGAGCCCGAGCGGCGCCGGCGCAGGGCTCAGCCCCGGGGCGGAGCTGGCGGAGGAGGGCAGGGGAGGGAGGGGAAGGCAGAGGACGGAGAGGAGGCGGAGAGGAGGCGGCCCGTCCGGAGCCGAGAGCCGGGGCTGGCGGGGGCAGCGAGGCGCGGGCGGCGGAGCGGCGGGATGCGGCGCTGGCGGGGCGCGGGGCTGGCGGCGCTGGCCGCGGTGCTGCTCGGTGCGCGGGGCTGGCACCGTGGGGATTGGGGCTGGGGCTTGAGTGGCCATGCAGATCCCGCGAGGCTACCGTCCTGCCTGGCTTCTTCATAGAAGACCTCTGCCCCCGAACTATCCTCCTGTCTGTCCCTCCCTGTTGAGAAAATCTTAGATGATGCAGGACATATACTGCATCAGACCTGCTTGCACAATCCGGCCTGCGTGCTGGACGGCAGGGACCTGTGTTCTCCAGCAGCAGATGTGTGTCCTTGAGCAGCAGATATCAGAAAGCTGCATAGAGGAAAACAAGGATGGAGGTTGTTATCCAGGGTGTGAGAAACCAGAAGATGGGGGGACCTGGAAATGTGCCTTGGCTAGTAGAGCCAATGAAGTTATAGATATAGTGTGTGAAAGTAAATGTAACCAATAGAAAGTTAGAATAGAGCGTGTGAACCCTGTAGGACCCTTGATAATGTGTGTATTTTTGGAATAAAGTTAGAGCATTGCCTGTACCTCTATGAGGATGTGTCTCTGACTCTCGAGCTCGTTTTTTGCATCTTCTCCTTTTACCTCCCTCTACTCCAAAAGGCATTCCCTAGGAACACTCATCGCTCCTTTCTTTGTCGAACCGTTCTTGTTTCCTTGCTTTACCCTGTGTCGTTCATAGAACTCATGCAATCCGTCCTACCTCTTTCCTACTTTTCTTTCTCTCTTTTTGGCTTTGTCTCGCAGCCTTCCATTCTTCAGCGACTCCACTAATCCACCTCTCGTTCCCGCCCTTATCTCTCTACCAAATACTAATGGACACTTCGATTACTGCATGCCTTGACATCCTCTTCAAATTCTTCTTCATGTGGTCCTGACTGCTTCTGGGCGATTTGTTGTGGGAAACAACATCCAGTGCAAAAAGCAATTCTGACGGCTTGTCTTCTTTATCTCCCCACCAGTGTCTGCAGGCAGAGCCCAGGATCAGGTGCAGCAGGACCCACTGGTAGAGACCACCGAGGGCAGTGAAATCACCATCAAGTGCTCACACCCCAACATACGAGTCGCAGATTTTATCCATTTCTACCAGCAGCTCCCGGGCCACAGCCACGAGCTCCTGGCACGCGCTGCTAAAGGGTCCAGAGAGGTGAAGGGCTGCGGGCTTGGCAGATGGAGACCCTTATTCCCAGCCCCGTATCTAGATCAAATCCAGAGTGATCCCAGGCACCCGTCACACCACAGAAAACATACTGTTCATTTTCGTTACCTCTAAATTGGCTTTTCCTCTACAAAACGTCTACAGTTATTTGAATAATGATAGACGTAATGATAATGGTTTTAATAAGAACATTCACATGAAAATTCTGCACCTCCTCAAGATGTAAAAGCTTGGATACTGAGTTGACCTCAGTGTAAGCAACACTGGCAGTGCCTCAGCACGCCTGGCAGCCCCCCGTGCCCCCTCCCCAGCCGTGAGGCTGCTGCTCTCAGCAGCGCTGCAGAGGTGAGGAGGGGCAGGTTTGCCTGGTGGGCAGGGAGAGAGGCTCCTGAATGGCGCCGACCATGTGCTGCCAGTCCCGGAGTGGATGTGCTTCCGATGGCGTGTGGGTGGTGTCTGGGCTGGCCCCCAGCTGTGTGCTGTGGCTGGCAATGCCAAAGGGATTTGTGCCGCTGCTTGTGCTGGTGCTGTGCGAGGAGGGGGCTGAGCCCGGGCCGGGGCGGAGCTGGCGGAGGAGGGCAGAGGAGGGAGAATGGGAGGGGATGGGAGGGGAGGCGGCCCGTCCGGAGCCGAGAGCCGGGGCTGGCGGGGGCAGCGAGGCGCGGGCGGCGGAGCGGCGGGATGCGGCGCTGGCGGGGCGCGGGGCTGGCGGCGCTGGCCGCGGTGCTGCTCGGTGCGCGGGGCTGGCGGCGGGGGACCGTGGGGGTCGGGGCTGGGGCTGGGGTGGCCGCGCAGGTCTCTGGAAGCTGCCGTCCCCTCTGGCTTCTTCACGGACCTCTGTCCCTGAATCATCCTCCCATCCATCCCTCACTCTACACCATCCCACATTCCCTCAGAAAATTCACGCCTCTCTTCTTTCTCCAACTGTCACTGCACCTTCCTTTCCTCTCTGTCTTTCTTTCTTTCTTTTGCCTATTATTCACACAGTCATGTCTCCACTAGTGATTGACATTTCTATTACTGCACATGTTGACATCCTCTGGATACTCTTCTCCTCATCATCTCTGTATGTCCCTGACTGCTTCTGCAGGATTTCTTCTGAGAAACAACTCACAGGACAAAAAGAAATTCTGATATTTTTCTTCTTTGTCTCTCTGGCAGTGGCTGCAGGCAGAGCCCAGGTGCAGCAGGAGCCGTTGGCACAAACCCCCGAGGGCACGGAAATCACCATCAACCGGGGTGAGGAAGGGGGGGACATTTGTCATGATGGTGTTTGTCTTCCCAAACACACATCATGCGTGATGGGGCTCTGCTCTGCTGGAGGCAGCTGAACACCTGCCTGCCCATGGGAAGCAGGGAATTAATTGCTTGCAACATTTGTTTTGCTTCCCTTCATGGCTTGTGTTTTCCCTGTTGAACTGTCTTTCTGTGACCCTGTGAGTTTTCTTGCTTTTACCCATGCAGTTGTCTCCTGGATCCTGCTGAAGGGGGAGTGAGTGAGCAGCTGTGTGGGCCTTGTTTGCTGGCCAGGGTGAAACCAGGACAGTGCAGTTGAACAGTGATGTACCAGCCTGCAACAGACCTGCTCAGGAAAGAGGCACTGACATGCAGCCCCTGCCCCCTGTGCCCTCCTTTACCTACTGCTCTACAGATCATGCTCTGCTGCTGCCAATTGCAGGGCCCAACAAGGACAGTTTCACCAAAATTTGCATCTTCCCCTCAATTCAGGATCAAATGCTGGCAGTGCCTCAGCAGGGCTGGCAGCCCCTCCACCCTCACCACACTCACACACTGCTCCAGACCAGCACACACCTGCTCTCCCCAGTGCTGGAGACCTCAAAAGGATGACGTTGGTTTCATGGACAGGCAGAACGACTGAGGGTTCCTGCCCCCCTCATGTATCCACCTGTGTGGATCTGCTTCCAGTGCAGTGCTGGGGGTGTTGGGTGGGACACAGCTCCCTCTCCTGTCCAAGCCCCTGCCCAATGTACCTGTGCAGCCCATCGACCAGGTGCTGAGTGAAGCAGCCAGAGACGTTGTCCCAAACGGGGACTGAAGGAAAGGGACACGGCCCTGAGGTCACTGCACTGTGAGAGGAAGAACAGCCCCTGTGTCTTGCAGAGGGAAAGGCAGAGTTCTGGCGACTGTTTTGGACTTCAGCCCACAAGGACCTTTATCCCCCTGTAGTGGGTTTCTGTGCCTGGGTTTTGGTTGCAGAGGGGGGCTACAAGGGTGGCTTCTCTCAGAAGCTGCTAGAAGCTTCCCCTGTCCCATGGAGCCAATGCCAGATGGCTCCAGGATGGGCTTCCTCCCGCTGGCCAAGGCCAAGCCTATCAGGAACAATGGTAATGCCTTTGGGATAACATATTTAGCAACAGAAGTTTGTTGAGCAGAAGGAATTCCAGCCAGGGAAGAGTGGAGTGAGAACGTGGGAACAACAAAGTAGACACCAAGGGCATTGCAGAAGGAGGGGGAGGAGTGCTCCAGGTGCCGGAGCTGTGGCCCCTGCAGCCTGTGGTGCAGACCGTGGTGGAGCAGCTGTGCCCCTGCAGCCCATGTAGGACCATCGGGGTGCAGAAACTCCCCTGGAGCCCATGGAAGAGCCCATGCTGGAGCAGGTGGATGGAGGAAGGAGGCTGTGACCCTGTGGGAGGCCCAAGATGGAGCAGGGTCCTGCTGGAGACCTGCAGCCCGTGGAGAGGGAAGCCCACGCTGGAGCAGGTTTTCCCTGGGTAGGACCTGTGGCCCCCGTGGGGGACCCACGCTGGTACAGCTCATCCGTGAAGGACTGACCCCGTGGAGGAGTGACCCACGGGACAGCAGGTTGGGAAGCGGCGGGATGCGGCACTGGTGGGGCACGGGGCTGGCGGCGGGGGAACGTGGGGGCCGGGGCTGGGGTCCCTCGAGGCTGCCGTCCCCTCTGGCTGCTTCACGGACCTCTGTCCCCGAATCATCGTGCAGTCCATCCCTCTCTCTGTGCCATCCATATTGCCTCAGAAATATCAATACTCTATGATTTCTTGGACTCTCCCTGGTTCTTTTCTTTCCCTTGTGTTTTTCCGTACAACTCATGCAGTCAGTCCTTCCCACTTGCTACTTTCTTTCTGTCTTTCTCAAATTTTTTTTGCTGCAGTGACCTCACCCCTCCACGTTTCCTTCACACATTCCTCTCTCCGCTAACGATCGATGGACACTGCCCTCACCGCATGTGTTGACATCCTCTGGAAACACTGCTCGTCATCATCTCTGTGTGTTCCTGACTGTTTCTGCGGAGTTTTTTCTGAGAAACAGGGGGGAGGGCTGATCAGAAAACACGTTTTGACGGTTTTTCTGTTTTTTTCTTCCCAGCAGTGGCTGTGGGCAGAGTCCAGGTACTGCAGGACCCATCGACAGAGACCATCAAGGGCATCGGTATATCTATCAACTGCTCCCACCCCAAAATCCAGTTCAATGAGTACATCTACTGGTACCGTCAGCTCCCTGGCCGAGAACCCGCACTCCTCATGAGCGGTCAGAAAGGGTTCAGAGAGATGCCGGACCCTCCTGGGTGGCTGTCAGTGTCGCCAGACCGTCGCTGGAGCACCCTCTGTCTCTCCGGGCCCCGTGTTGGGGACGCGGCGGTGTATTACTGCGCCGTGGCAGACACGGCCAGAGGAGCCGGGGCTGCGGCCGGGCACGAACCGCCGCGGGCGGGGCCGGGGGCACAGCGCCGGCCGGGGCCAGCAGGGCTTTGTCAAATGCTGTAAATCCCACCTGAGCTCAGACTCACTGACACCCTCGTCTTTGGAGCTTTCAGGGGATTTTCTTAGAAATACACAACTCAGTTAATTGTTCCTACAGCGGAGCAAAGTAGCGCCCCTTTGAAAACAGGGCGTTCCACTCCTACATAAAGCACAGGCTTGTGACCGAATGTCTGGGTGCCAAGTGACATACACAGCACAGCACAGGTCTGGGCATACTCCAGTCAGCTGCAATGTGTGTCCCTGACTTCTCCTGAGAAATCGTCTCCTGGATACTCTGATCCGTTCCGGGCAGGCACTGAGATTCTCTGGTTCATGAGGATCTTTTGTTTGGATAGGGGGAGAATTCTGACCTTGCCCGCAGTGTGGAAAAGGGACAGACAGACAGACAGTGAAACCGGCCTTGTTGGGCCGAAATCAGCAGCAGCGGAGCGAGAGCTGTGGACGGACAGGAAGAGAAGGGCTCCGGAGGCAGAACCTGCATTTCTCTGCCTCTTCCCTGGACACAGCTGTAGGGGGCAGGTGCCGTCAGCACTCAGCTGCACCCACGCGCCTTCTGACCCTGGCAACCTGCTGCTCTGTGGAGTTCAGGGCCAGCGGAGAGGACGGTATCCCTGGAATAGGCAGCAAATGAACTTCCCATGAGGGTGTTACGATCTGCTTAAATATTGCAGAAAGAGTTTTTGGATTTGAATATTCCCTTGAGCAAAATTAAAACTCATACAAGTTATCTGTTGATACCAAAACTGTTTTTTATTAATTGCTAAGAGATGCAAAGAGAAAGAGGAAAAAATAAGAAAAGGTTGGAAAATGCTAAGATTACTTTTAGAAGCAGAGAAAAGATACCACCAAAATCTACCTTTCCGTCGAACTGGTCTGTGGGGTGGGGGTGGAGAGAGAGAGAAGCAGTTTTCTGCTTTTTTTTTCTCTGTCTCTGCCGCTTTCAATGTTATCTCTTTAGCTGCAGGGGGTCTTAGTTCTCTGGAATGCAGCCAGGCTGTGGGCCTTGCCGCCGCTCACACCGGGCCGTGTCCCAGGCTGTGCAGAGGTCTCGGTCCAGCTGCACCTCTTGGCCCTCAGAAATATGGTCAGGGTGGAGAAACTCACGTGGGTGGCACGGTGGATCTCAGTCCACTTTAAGATGGCAGAAGTCCAGTCTCTGGTGATGGCAGGCAGCTCACTTACGGTGGCAGAAGAAACGATAAGGGCGAGGCGGAGGAGAGATCTTTAGCTGCTATAGCCAATTCTCTTTCCTACTCCTCTTTCCCCTGCTTTTCCCAAACTTTTCCTCATCTTTTATAGTGTTCAAAGGAGGTTGTGTGTGGTTTGTTGGCACGTAGCCTTATTCAGATGTTTGCAGAGATATGATAACCATGAACAATAACAGGATCTTTTGGCAGGAAAATTCCAGTGTAAAAATTTTCGTGAGAACTTCGGGTGGAAAACTGACACAATTTTTGGTAGGAAGTTTTTGACAGGCAGAAACAAAGGCAAAACATAATTTTTGGCATTTGTATGTTATCTGTCTGTTACAGAGGGACACACATGGACACACAGGGACACACAGGGACACACATACACAGACAGACACACACACACATGCACACACATAGACAGACAGACAGACAAACACGGACACACACCCACAGGCTCGTACACACCAGTGTGGAATCACACACAGATTTGTGCCCCCACATGTGTCCGTGCCAACCCGGCTGCTCCAAGAGCACACAAGGCAGGAACACACAGTCAGCCGTGGACTCTGCTGAGGACACCTGAGGTCAAAAGCAGCAGAGCTGGAGGATCGAGAGGAAGGACAAGGTGCCAGGCAAGCACAGGGCAGTCTGTGTTTACTCAGAGACTGCACAAAGTGGAGATGAGACAAAATAGTGCAGAGCACTTTCCTGAGGGTAGCGTTAGGCAGGACAGAATCAAAACCATCATCTCAGTGCACACCCATGGGGAGGCAACCACAAGTGAGCATCGGGGTGAGCTGAGGAGAGAGAGAAAGACAAGGCAAGGGGACATCATCCCATGCACAACAGCCTATGAGTGTCCAGTTGGGGGTGGCAGAACTTCTTCCTGAGGATGACACCTCAAGTGTCTCCACCAGAGTCACTCAGGCTGATGCATCACTCTCCTGCTCTGGATCCATCCAGCACTGGAGATGAGTCATGTGCCTGCACTGCTGCATTCCTGCTGCAAAATCCTGGGGCCTTTCATCCCAGGGCTAAGCCCTCACTGGGGAATGGGCATGGCACAAATATGGGAATGTAAAGGCAGCAGTGCAGGGCATGAGAGCACAGCCCATAGCACTCGGTGTGGTGGTTGGCATGCAAGATGAGCTTGTGAGGAAATTGTTAGCTCTGCAGAGGCTGCCCCTGGTTGTGTGGTAGTGAAGGGCAGGTATAAAAGGCAGCCCAACTTCCTGCTCTCTCCTCCACTTCTCCTCTGCCACACAGCAACTGGACGTTTTCATTGGGCACTTCTGAGCACTTTCAGAAATTGTTGGAGTCATGCAATTCAAGGAAGGAGCATTGCAGATAACGTCTTATTTATGTTTTTCACCCTACTTTGAACTCGGAACTCTGAGGGACACAACCCAGAGCAGGTACTCTAAGGGACAAGCCCAGTGGAAACCCTGGAGAAGCCACAGGCAGCAGGGAAAAGCAGAAAGCCAAGAGCAGCACAAGGAATCGTTGCAGAAGTGGTCTCAGCCTCCTGAATTGCCCAACAACTCCCTGGAGATGTTGGGAAGAAGAACCACGGAACCCATAAGTGACAATGAGCAATCTGGAAATTGTTTCACCTCTTTCTCCTTCCCCTCGACCACTGACACTCTCCTCTCCTGGAAGAGGGGCTCAGCCTGCAGATCTCTGGGTGTACAGGGGAAGCAGCGCTGCCAGGGGACAGCGGAGGGTCCCTTTCCCCAAGCTCAGCCTTGCACAGACACATCCCCTCCCTCCCCTGGCTTGTTGCACAGCCCAGGGAGCTCCCTGCACCAGGGTGTCTCGCACAGCACAGAGGTACAAAGCACTGTCAGAGACCTCCACTTCCTCCACCTGCAGGACACTGTATTTCCCCGTGGTGTTCAGCTCCGTGCTGATACGGCCGCTCTGCCTCTGGCCGGCCCCCGCCTGAGACGAGAGCAGCTGTGGGGCTTGTCCTTTCCTCTGCTGGTACCACAACAATCCATTGAAGTAATTGGTCTGGTATGTACAGGTGGTCTGGAAGAGGCCTTTCTGCTTCACCAGGACTTCTCCATCTTCCTGGGTGACAACGATCTGCCCCATGGTGCCTGGAAGAAAGTGAAGGTCAGCAGCTGCACAGGGAAATACTATGGCAAGATAAAGTAAACTGGATGCTAAACCCTGGTGGAGAAAGCTGCCTGCCCTGTACGGAGATGGAGACTCCCTACTGGAGACAGTCAGATGAGACTCCTTTTGGGCAGGATCTCAGAGCTCTGAGCTCAGGAAGAGCCTGGAGAAGAGGAGGCTCAGAGGTGACCTCATCACCGTCTATAACTACCTGAAGGGAAGTTCTAGCCAGGTGGGGGTTGCTCTCTTCTCTCAGGCACTCAGTAATAGGACAAGGGGGCACGGGCTTAAGCTCCGCCAGGGGAAATTTAAGTTGGATATCAGGAGAAAATTCTTTACAGAGAGAGTAATCAAGCATTGGAACGGCCTACCCAGAGAGGTGGTGGATTCACCATCCCTGGAGATTTTTAAACGCAGATTGGACGTGGCACTGAGTGCCATGATCTAGTAAATGGACTGGATTTGGACCAAGGGTTGGACTCGATGATCTCAGAGGTCTTTTCCAACCCAATCGATTCTATGATTCTATGATTCTATAAGATCCTGAGGAGACCTTTGCTGTCTCTGTCTTCTTGCTCCTCCTACTCAAAGGACCAGGGAACAGCCTGTCTTACCTTAGCTTTTGTGCTGGAACCAGCACATCTCCAGCAGGTTGAGGAGCTTTTGGAGGAACAGCAAAAAGATTCATCCATCCCTCTTACCTCTGAGGGTTCCTCGCTCCCTGAGTACACACAATTCTGAGCTTGCAAAGAGGGAGACCTGTCTCTTTTGACAGCCAGAAGAAAATGAAACCATGGCAGATATTTGGGCAGCCTCGAGGCAGAATGGGACACAGTCCATGTGTAAAGTCAGTGAGATGAGAGCTTGAAAGTGTCTGGGCCAACTTTGGCAGGAACTGCTGATTTTCTTCAGAGAGGGAGAAATGTGGTACTGCAGAGACAGCTGAGATGTCCTGTGGTGGCAGCAGGTGGATTAGAAGAGAGAAGGAGAGGGAGGTGGATTGAAGGGGAGAGCAGAAAAGGAGAAGGGGTCTTAGGTTTCTCTTCTCTTCTCTTCTCTTCTCTTCTCTTCTCTTCTCTTCTCTTCTCTTCTCTTCTCTTCTCTTCTCTTCTCTTCTCTTCTCTTCTCTTCTCTTCTCTCTACCGTCTCTCCTTCACGCTTTCCTCTCTCCTTCTCTTCTCTGCCCCCCTCTTCTCCGTTCGGCGTCGCTGCTCGTCTCTCTCTTCGCTTCTCTTCTCCTTTTCCCCTCCCCTCTCTCTCCTTCCTCTTTCTCCTTCCTTCTCTATCATCGTCTCTGCGCTCCTCCTCCTCGCTATTTCTCTTCTCTTCTCTTCTCTTCTCTTCTCTTCTCTTCTCTTCTCTTCTCTTCTCTTCTCTTCTCTCTTCTCCCATTGCCTTTATAAAAATCAGTGCTTCCTGAGTGAACACATGCAAGACAGCAAAGTTGAGAAGATACTTTGCAATGATCTTTCTCTATTCAATGGTATTTCCCCACAGGGGCCTGATAAGGCTGTTGAGTGTTTCCTGGGAGGAAGAAGAAGAGTGCACTGATGAAAAGCCAGGACTTACCCAGGAGGTGGCCCAGGCAGACAGTGAGGACGAGATATGCTGCTTGTTTGCTGAGAGAGTCAGAAACCACCTCCCAGCCCCGAGACAACAGTACTGCCAGAAACAACATCCTTGGGGGAGCAAAGGAAGAAGGAGGGCAGAGATATTATCTTTCAGTGCGTGGAATGCTCTCTTTGGGTTTCTCCCTCCCCCAGCAGCAGCCCCTGTGGCTCCCTCAGCCGATGGCATTCTGAGCATTGCCTGGCTCTGGGGCCTCCCTCACGGGCAGGGGCTGTTCCCGGTCAGCTCGCAGGGCAGTCCCCCCCTCCCCAGCTGCAATGGCCTGCTCTGCTGCACACCCACTGCTGGGCTTTTGGGAGCTCCGGGGCTTCTTCCCCACTCAGGTTTCACATCTTGCCGTGCTGTCCTCAGCTCTCTGGGCTCGTTGCAGTTCCCTCGGGGAGCACGTGTCTCCTCCCTGTCTGTGGCTTCTCCCCTGTCCTTCTTCATCTGCCCAGGACAAACGCCTCTCTCCCAGCGGCCAGGAACGGGAGATGGGCCCCACCAGAGAGCTGCCTGCGAGGGGTGGGGCTGGGACAGCCCTGCCCCACCCATCTGAAAGGGCAGGTGAAGGGCTGCGGATGGAGACCCTTATTCCCAGCCCCGTATCTAGATCAACTCCAGAGTGATCCCAGGCACCGTCACACCACAGAAAACATACTGTTCATTTTTGTTACCTCTAAATTGGCTTTTCCTCTACAAAACGTCTACAATTATTTGAATAATGATAGACGTAATGATAATGGTTTTAATAAGAACATTCACATGAAAATTCTGCACCTCCTCAAGATGTAAAAGCTTGGATGCTGAGTTGACCTCAGTGTAAGCAACACTGGCAGTGCCTCAGCACGCCTGGCAGCCCCCCGTGCCCCCTCCCCAGCCGTGAGGCTGCTGCTCTCAGCAGCGCTGCAGAGGTGAGGAGGGGCAGGTTTGCCTGGTGGGCAGGGAGAGAGGCTCCTGAATGGCGCCGACCATGTGCTGCCAGTCCCGGAGTGGATGTGCTTCCGATGGCGTGTGGGTGGTGTCTGGGCTGGCCCCCAGCTGTGTGCTGTGGCTGGCAATGCCAAAGGGATTTGTGCCGCTGCTTGTGCTGGTGCTGTGCGAGGAGGGGGCTGAGCCCGGGCCGGGGCGGAGCTGGCGGAGGAGGGCAGAGGAGGGAGAATGGGAGGGGATGGGAGGGGAGGCGGCCCGTCCGGAGCCGAGAGCCGGGGCTGGCGGGGGCAGCGAGGCGCGGGCGGCGGAGCGGCGGGATGCGGCGCTGGCGGGGCGCGGGGCTGGCGGCGCTGGCCGCGGTGCTGCTCGGTGCGCGGGGCTGGCGGCGGGGGACCGTGGGGGTCGGGGCTGGGGCTGGGGTGGCCACGCAGGTCTCTGGAAGCTGCCGTCCCCTCTGGCTTCTTCACAGACCTCTGTCCCTGAATCATCCTCCCATCCATCCCTCCCTCTACACCATCCCACATTCCCACAGAGAATTCACGCCTCTCTTCTTTGTCCAACTATCACTGCACCTTCTTTTCCTCTCTGTCTTTCTTTCTTTCTTTTGCCTATTATTCACACAGTCATGTCTCCGCTAGTGATTGACATTTCTATTACTGCACATGTTGACATCCTCTGGATACTCTTCTCCTCATCATCTCTGTATGTCCCTGACTGCTTCTGCAGGATTTCTTCTGAGAAACAACTTACAGGACAAAAAGAAATTCTGATATTTTTCTTCTTTGTCTCTCTGGCAGTGGCTGCAGGCAGAGCCCAGGTGCAACAGGAGCCGTTGGCACAAACCCCCGAGGGCACGGAAATCACCATCAACTGCTCACACCCGACCATACGGACCAATGACTATATCCACTGGTACCGTCAGCTTCGGGGCCGCGGCCCCGAATTCCTCGTGAGCATTCACAAAGGCTCCAAAGAGCTGCCGGACAAGGCGGGTCAGGTGTCGGTGTCGCCAGACCGTCGCTGGAGCACCCTCTGTCTCTCCGGGCCCCGTGTTGGGGACGCGGCGGTGTATTACTGCGCCGTGGCAGACACGGCCAGAGGAGCCGGGGCTGCGGCCGGGCACGAACCGCCGCGGGCGGGGCCGGGCGGGGCCGGGGGCACAGCGCCGGCCGGGGCCAGCAGGGGCCGCTCCTGCACCTCCAAGATTTCTTTCTCAAACCATGTCCCGCCTTCCTGGGCCCCCTTGTTTCAAAGGGCTGCTTTCCAAGGGGCTTTCTGAATCGGTGTCCTCAACAGGCCCAAGTCCAACCTCCAGAAGTCGAGGGTACAGGTTTGGTTGATGCTCCTCCTCACTTCACCAAGTGTGGAAAACATGGTCACTGTGCTCCAGATGGCCTTTGATCACCACATCTCTCACCAACCCTCCTCTGTTTGCAAACAGCAGGTCTGGGTGCTGTATAAACTCCCCCATGATCAAAAATATTAAAATTCCACCGATGGCATTGGTCTTTATGCCAGAGCAGATGCAGGAAATCATACATAAGACTGTAGTGGCTGCCAAGAGAAAGTTTCACCAGTCCCAAGGGATGAGATGTACATGTTACAGCATCCTCTCCCCCAGATTGGCAGCCAACTCCTCAGCACAAACCCTCTGTGGGGAGCAAGGAAGCAGTGAAGAGCTCTGCACCCACCTGCAGCTCTGCTGGGAAGTGCAATCCCACAATCCTTGTCCTTGCTGATGTGCCCGTTCTCCTGTAGGTTCAGTGTCACAGGGATGTCACCTCCCACAGTATTTCACTGTCTCCCTGTCCCCACTCGCTGTGACAGCCCTCAGCTGCCCTCCCCTGCTTTGCTGCAATTTCCAGCCTTGACTCATTCAGCAGCCAAAGGATGGTTCCCCTCAACAGAGGAGCCATTGCAGGCTGTCCCAACCTCCCATTTCTCTGTCAGTGGAGAAGGCTCTCCTTGTGCCATCACCCACTTCCACTGCTGAGAAACTCCTTTCCACTTTGACAGCTTGGAGAGTGTCTGCAGGGGTGGGAAAGTCAACACGGAGGCCAGGCTTGAATTCAGCAGAAAGATGTGAGGAGTCAAAAGAGGGAAAGGACATCCCTGCATGTGGAGGACAGCAGTGCAGGGAGCCCGGGGGCATCTGAGAGTCTGTCCTCCTTGGTGGAGGAGAAGTTCCTGCATGGTGCCTGTCTGCCTGTCCCTTAGAGGGAGAGGAGACAGATGGTCCCCACCAGGCTGACCATGGTGGGACCTTGCTGCCAAGGGGAAGCAAAGCAAACAAAGAAAAGGGAAAGGCAAAGCCATTCACCTCTCCTGGTACCAACATGGAAAAATGTCCATCCTCACTCAGCCCAGCACCATGTTCTGAGTCCCCTGAGGTGCCTCCCTGGGGCTTTCCCAGTATCTTCTTCAGGGGAGGGACCTTTTGCCACAATAGCATCTGAAGATGTGGGAGCGGTTGAAACAAAGAAGATAAAAATACATGGCTAAAGTTTAAGGCCTATGTTAACATAACCTTCAGAACTTAGCATAACTATGACTCTGTAAAAGTAACTGCTTGCAAGCAGAAAAACAACATGGCTGGAAGGGGAAACACCCAACTGGAAGGGAAAGATAATAGCTGGAAGAAGTGCTTCAGGACACAGCAGGTGTAATCAATAGCTTTACAAGGGGTCTAAAGGATGGATGGGGAATGTTGCTGCTTGGAGTGATAATCATATGTAATAGCAGGTATAGAGAATAGGTAACCAAATGTATAGTTAGATAAGACATCTACCCACCTAACTTTGTACTGAACCTTGAAGAATGTATGTGTTAGATAAAATTCAGAGCTTGTTTACTTCCATGTATAAATGCTTGTTGGGTTCTGGCACTCGTTGGACATGTGTATGGCAGTGCTACCCCTACGTGTACCCCAGCTGAGTAAAGGTGTGCTTTATCTATACACTGCGTACCTGCTGTGTAGAAATTGCCTTGAATCAAGGTCACAGCCCCCGGAGTTGATGGGCACTCTGTCAGAGCTGAGGATGCTGCCAACGGCAGTGGAGGTGGAGGATCCCACCACGGTGTTCTGTGGGAAGGAGCTGAGGATGGGCCCGGGCAGGGTCACCAGCACAGCCGGTGGCTCAATGACAACGGTGGAGCTCTGGCACTGCCTGACACAGCACTCATTGCAGCTGTTGGCCAGCGGGGCCGTGCCATAGGGTTGGTAGGAATGGCATGGGATGTAACAGGACATGGGATGCCCAGTGTTGGGGGGCACCTGGGAGAGGGAGCAGACAAGAAACAGAGCACAAGCGTGAATAAGAGCAAACAAGGTCACTGCTGAACTGGGAGCTGCAGGCATGGCAAGGAGCCACACCTTCTTCCTTGTGCTGCAAAGAACAGCCTGGCCCAGAGAGTCTCTCCCCTAATTTGTTAAGCAAAAGCCACATTCCAGCCTCTCTCTAGCACATATTTTACAGCCAACAACTTGCCATGACAGCAAGCTCCAGGGCCCAGCACAGGACACAGCCAGAATCATCTGAGATGTCCAACCAGTGGAGATCTCGCTGTGGAAGAGGAGGAGAAGGGGCTTCAGACTCACCTGGTTCCCAAGCAGAAGGAGATAAGAGAAGCGGATGAGACAGCAGGGGCTGGGGCTGCCTTTTCTACCTGCCCTTCACTACCACTGGACCAGGGACAGCCTTTGCAGAGGTAACAATTTCATCTTGAATGCAAACCATCACAGCTGATGGTACAGGCTGTGCTTTGGTTTCCAAACTGCTGCCTTTTCATTTCTGGGTTTCTTCCATGTCCCAAGGATGGCTTTGTTTGAACCCTAGGATTTCTAGGGTAAGAATGAAATAATGCAGCTCAGGACTCAGCTCCAGGGCTGGATGGATCCAGAGCAGGCAATGATGTGTCAGTCTGGATCACTCTGGTGGGGTTGCTTAAAGTGCTGTTTTCAAGAAGAAGCTGCAACAATCCTCTGTGGATACCCAAGGACTCCTGGGCATGAGGATGGGCCATGTCATTCCCTTTCCCTCCCTCCTCAGCTCACCCCAATGGTCACTGGTTGTTGCCTCTCTACGTGTGTGCTTTGGGCGGCTGCTTTGACCCCGTCCTGCCTAACACTGCCCTCAGGAAAGCATTTGGGTTTATTTTGAATCTTCTGTCTGTGTGCAGCCTGTGAGTACACAAACAATGCCACGGGCTTCCCTGAGGCCTTGTCCTTCCCCACAGTGCCCCAGCCCTGCGGTGTTGTCCCCAGGTGTCCTCAGCAGAGTCCGTCATTGGTTGTATTCCTGGTTTGAGTGCACTTGTGTGCAGCCAGGTTAGTGTGAATTCATGTGCGTGGGTTTGCACGGCGAGGTTTTGGTACTGGGGGAGCACTAAAGGGGTACCTTCTCTGAGAAGCTGTGAGAAGCTTCCTCCATGTCCAACAGAACCAATGCCAGTCAGCTCCAGGACGGACCCACCGCTGGTCAAGGCCGAGTCAATCATCAATGTCAGTGACACACATCTGTGACAACACTTGTAACAGGGGAAAAAATGATTGTGCAGAGGAAACTGCAGCCAGAGGGCAAAGGAGTGAGATGGGAGCAGAAATCACCTGCAGCCCATGGAGGAGCAGGTGAATGCCTGAAAGATGGCTGTGAGCCTGTGGGAAGCCCATGCTGGGGCAGGCTTCTGGCAGGGACCTGTGGACCCACAAACAGAAGAGAACATACTAGAACAGGTCTCTAAGAAGGACTTGTGACCCTCTGGGGGACCCAGGCTGGATCAGTCTGTCCCTGAAGAACTGCACCCCGTGGAAAGGGACCCACGCTGGAGCAGTTTATGAAGAAGCATAGCCCAAGGGAAGGACTCACACTGGAGAAGTCTGTGGAGGACTGTCACCCATGGCAGTGACCCCAGGCTGGGGCTGGGGAAGGAATCCTCTCCCTGAGGAGGAAGCAGCGGCAGAGACAAGGTGTGATGAACTGACCGCAACCCCCATTCCCCACCTCCCTGTGCCACTGGAGGGGAGGAGAGAGAGAATTGGGAATAAAGTTAAGTCCAGGATGGAGAGAGGGGTGGGGAAAAGGTGATTTTAGCATTTGTTTTGCTTCTCATTATCCTGCTCTAGTTTTGATTGGTAAACAATTCAACTGATTTTCTTAAGTCAAGTCTGTTTTGCCCATGCAAGTAAACAGTGAGTGATCTCTCCCTGCCCTTAACTCATGAGCTTTTCATGATGTTTTCTCTCCCCTGTGCAGTTGTGGAGGGAATGATAGAGCAGCTTCAGTGGGCACCTCTGAAGTGCCTCTTGCCTGTAGTGACCTTTGGTGAGATCATTGCCAGGGAGCTCTGCTGGGAGAGCTCAGCCAGGCCAGATTCCCCCTCCATGGAGATGCTCTCGGACTGAGGCACTCGTGGAAGTGAGAACAGAGCTCATTGAGTCTCCCCAGATCACAGCTCTGTGGAGATGGGAGGGCAGCACAGGTGTGCACCTAGAGGTTCACCAGACCCTTGACACCCTTCACCCATACAGCCTCTGCAGGCTGGGAGCTGTCTGTCTAGGAAGCAGATCCATGGAACAGGATGTGGGGTTTTAGGAGACATCTGGCAGAACATGAGAGAGCAGTGCCCTTGCAGCAAGGAAGGTCAAGTGCATCTTGAGCTGTGCTAGTTGATAAGCTGTGAGCAGGTTCAGGGAGGTGACCCTGCCCCTCTGGCTCGTTGGAGGCCACATATGGAGTATTTCATCCACCCTGAGGCTCCCCAGTCCAACAAGACTATCAACAGACTGCAGTGAATGCAACAAAGGCCACCAAGTAGATTTGGGCACTGGTCAAACATGACATGCAGGGGCAGGCTGACCAAATCGTGTTACTTGTCTTGGAGAAGAGAAACCTTTCCATTCCCCTCATGGTTTTGCAGGACTTCATCTTATCCCGAGAGTCACAGTTGCTTTCAGATCCGTCTCTCTCAGGCCACAGATGGCCACATAACCTTGTCATCCCTGATCTTCCACCTGTCCTAGCCTTGTGCTCCATGAATGCAGACTGCATCTCCATGACTCCAAAGCAGATGGGAGATGCCATGCCATGTCCGGGCTTTCTCTGGGGAACGTACTTCTCCCATGCACTGCCTCACGGTAGCACTGGTGCCACAGTCCCTGCCCAACCGGGCTGTGTCCCCACACGAAGTGCCCCAGCTGCCAGCAGGGATGCTCCCCGTGACAGGCCAGGAGAGGCTGAGCCCGGGGTGCTGAGCCCGGAGGGATGTTCTGCCTCTCGTGCACCTCGACCATTCTTACAAGCACGTGCCCTGGAGGACAATTCAGGAGTCCCCAGGTGCCAGTGAAGGAGGGATGTGAGGGAAGAGACGATGGCGGTGAAAGGAGCTCATGGCCTGTCCATGTTGAGCTCCCCGATACCAACCCGCTCCTCTGCCAGCCAGCCCGGCCCCGCCGCCCCGCAGTGCAGAGCCCCGACCGCCGCCGCGCTGCCGCCGCTCTCGCCTGCCCTCGGCATCCAGCCCGCCCCCGGCGAGAGCCCGAGCGGCGCCGGCGCAGGGCTCAGCCCCGGGGCGGAGCTGGCGGAGGAGGGCAGGGGAGGGAGAGGAAGGCAGAGGACGGAGAGGAGGCGGAGAGGAGGCTGCCCGTCGGGAGCCGAGAGCCGGGGCTGGCGGGGGCAGCGAGGCGCGGGCGGCGGAGCGGCGGGATGCGGCGCTGGCGGGGCGCGGGGCTGGCGGCGCTGGCCGCGGTGCTGCTCGGTGCGCGGGGCTGGTGGCGGGGGAACGTGGGGGTCGGGGCTGGGGCTGGAGTGGCCTCAGAAATCTCATCACTCCATAGTTTGTCTGACTCTCACTGTTCCCTTCTTTTCATTGTGATTTCCGTATTACTCATGCAGTCAGTCCTTCCCACTTGCTACTTTCTTTCCCTCTTTTCTTTCTCTGTCTCATTTTTTTGTTACAGTGACCTCATCCTTCCACGTTTCATTCACACATTCCTCTCTCCACAAACGGTCGATGAGTTGTGATCTGGGGAGACTCAATGGACTCTGTTCTCACTTCCACGAGTGCCCTCACCGCACGTGTTGACAGCCTCGGGAAACACTGCTCGTCATCATCTCTGTGTGTTCCTGACTGTTTCTGCGGGGTTTGTTCTGAGAAGCAGTGCGGAGGGCTGGGCAGAAAGCACGTTTTGACGGTTTTTCTCTGTTTTCCTTCCCAGCAGTGGCTGTGAGCAGAGCTCAGGTTCTGCAGGACCCGTCGACAGAGACCATCGAGGGCACCGGTACCTCCATGAACTGCTCCCTCCCCAAACTTCAGGGTACTGCTTCTGTTCATTGGTACCGTCAGTTCCCCGACCAGGCGGTGCATCACATTGTAACGGGTTTCACTGGAGATAAAGCAGTGCTGGAGCCTGTGGGACAGGTGTCGGTGTCACCAGACCGTCGTTGGAGCACCCTCTGTCTCTCCGGGCCCCGTGTTGGGGACGCGGCGGTGTATTACTGCGCCGTGGCAGACACGGCCAGAGGAGCCGGGGCTGCGGCCGGGCACGAACCGCCGCGGGCGGGGCCGGGGGCACAGCGCCGGCCGGGGCCAGCAGGGCTTTGTCAAATGCTGTAAATCCCACCTGAGCTCAGACTCACTGACACCGTCGTCTTTCGGAGCTTTTCATTGTTCCTACAGCGGAGCAAAGTAACATCCCGATGAAAACAGGGCGTTTCACTCCTGCGTAAAGCACAGGCTTGTGACCGAATGTCTGGGTGCCAAGTGACATACACAGCACAGCACAGGTCTGGGCATACTCCAGTCAGCTGCAATGTGTGTCCCTAACTTCTCCTGAGAAATCATCACCTGGATATTCCGATCTGTTCCGGGCAGGCACTGAGATTCTCTGGTTCATGAGGATCTTTTGTTTGGGTAGGGGGAGAATTCTGACCTTGCCCACAGTGTGGAAAAGGGACAGTCGGGGTCTGCAGAGCTTCCAGTGTCACTCATGAGGGATCTGAGCACTACATCTCAGAGGTGTGCTGAAGAAGGTGTGAAGGCAGACACTGCAATGGAGCGAGGTACAGACAGGCCAGACCGAGTGTTAGAGGTGGTGAGAGAGGAGACAAAAGCAGCAAGAAAGGAGAGACTTCCAGCCATGAGGCCCTGCGGTCAGGAAGGATGGTTGGAGGTTTATTCTCTCAGTATGAATGCAGACTTCTCACCTTCCTGCAAATGTGTTGTCTCTGCTTTGACACCTAAGAAGGTAGAACCATGTCAGGACCCATAGGAGGGTAAGCTTGATGCTGCTTTTCCACTGGGAAGACTGTGAAAGCCTCAGGATGCTCCACTTCCCTAGAAATCTCCTTTTACAACATGAGGAGGTGCAGAATTTTCATGCGAATGTTCTTATTAGAACCATTATCATTATTTCTATCATTATTCAAATCATCGTAGACGTTCTGTAGAGGAAAAAGCCAATTTAGAGGTAACCAAAAGGAAGAGCATGTTTTCTGTGGTGTGCCGCGTGCCTGGGATCGCTCTGGAGTTGATCTAGAGAAGGGGTGTGTAAGAGATCGTTCCGTCTCTAACTCGCGTCTTTGTTTTACATTGACCCGTGCAATAAACAATTGGTAATTGGCCGCTCTGCCCAGGCGCGAGAGGTGTTAATGGGGCAATTAAGCGCCTCACTGCCTGAGGCTGACTACACCCGGTTCTCTCATTGGTGGTGGTAACTCTTTTTGCACTTTCCTCTTGTAGCTTTTCCGTTCCCTTATCTCTATCTCTTCTCCCCTCCCCCCGGCCCCGGTTTTCGCCTATTACTTATTGTTACAAATAAAGCAAATTGTCTGTTTGAGACCTAACGTGTGGAGTTTTGTGCCTTAATCTCACCTTGGAAGTAATCATCTAAAAGAACCACGTTGCAGCCCCTGACCGGACTGTAACAGGGTGGGAGTAAGGGTGTCCATCTGCCAAGCCCGCAGCCCTTCACCTGCCCTTTCAGATGGGTGGGGCAGGGCTGTCCCAGCCCCACCCCTCGCAGGCAGCTCTCTGGTGGGTGCCCCGTGCGCTCCCTGCCTGTGCGTGGGGATCACCTCCTGAGCCCTCCTCCTGTTCCCTGCTCATCCCTCAGCCCTTTCCCTAGGGAATATGCTGTCCTTGCCACCGCTGGGGCTGGGACATCCAGCAGCCCTGCTGGAGCCACGTTCCTCTCTCACACTATGCATTTCCCCAGCAGAGCAAGGCACAGCCAGAGAGCCTGGGCTGCTGCCCAGCAGGGCCCATCTCCCGTTCCTGGGCAGCTGGGAGAGAGGCGTTTGTCCTGGGCAGATGAAGAAGGACAGGGGAGAAGCCACAGACAGGGAGGAGACACGTGCTCCCCGCGGGAACTGCAACGAGCCCAGAGAGCTGAGGACAGCACGGCAAGATGTGAAACCTGAGTGGGGAAGAAGCCCCGGAGCTCCCAAAAGCCCAGCAGTGGGTGTGCAGCAGAGCAGGCCATTGCAGCTGGGGAGGGGGGACTGCCCTGCGAGCTGACCGGGAACAGCCCCTGCCCGTGAGGGAGGCCCCAGAGCCAGGCAATGCTCAGAATGCCATCGGCTGAGGGAGCCACAGAGGCTGCTGCTGGGGGAGGGAGAAACCCAAAGAGAGCATTTCAGGCACTGCAGGAACAGTTCATTTCTCTACCCTCCTTCTTCCTTTGCTCTCTAAAGGGTGTATCTCTGTTATCTCGGGGCTGGGAGGTGGTTTCTGACTCTCTCAGCAAACAGGCAGGTTGGTCTCAGCATGAACCTCGGCTGTCTCATCCTCACTGTCTGCCTGGGCCACCTCCTGGGTAAGTCCTGGCTTTTCATCAGTCAGCTTTCTTCTCTTCCCGGGAAATCCTCAGCAGCTTTATCAGGCCCCTGTGGGGAAAATCCATTGAATAGAGGGAAGATGCTGTGAACTGTCTCCTCATATTTGCCTGTTTGCTTTGTGTTTTCTCCAGAATCCTTTATCTTTTTAAAGGGAAAGGGAGGAAAGAGAAGGGAAACCTCAGAACCCGTCTCTGTCTCTTCTCTCTCCTTCAAACCATCTCCCTCTGCCTCTTTCTTTGGATTCCCCTGCTATCCCCACAGGAGATCTCCTCTTTGCAGTCCCACATCCCTCCTTTTTTGATGCATATTGGCAGATCCTGTCAAATCTGCCCCAGGCACTTTAAAGCTCTCATTTCTCTGACATCAACGGCGTGTCCCATTTTGCCTCCTGGCTGCCACAAGCTTCCAGTTTTCTCCACTTGGCAACACAGCCAGGGCTCCCTCTTTCCAAGCTCAACATTCTGTGTCCTCAGGGAGTGAGGAGCTGGTTCCAGCACACAAAGTTCAGGCGTGACAGGCTGTTCCCTGCTCCTCTGAGCAGGAGGAGCAAGAACATGGACACAGCCCAGCTCTCCTCAGATTCGTGCTGTGATAAGAGCTCTGAACCATATTCCAAAATCACTCTCACCTGACTGTCTCCAGGTCTCAGGACTTCCCTACAGGGCAGGCAGCTTTCTCCACCAGGGTTTAGCATCCAGTTTACTTTATCTTGCCATAGTATTTCCCTGTGCAGCTGCTGACCTTCACTTTCTTCCAGGCACCATGGGGCAGATCGTTGTCACCCAGGAAGATGGAGAAGTCCTGGTGAAGCAGAAAGGCCTCTTCCAGACCACCTGTACATACCAGACCAATTACTTCAATGGATTGTTGTGGTACCAGCAGAGGAAAGGACAAGCCCCACAGCTGCTCTCGTCTCAGGCGGGGGCCGGCCAGAGGCAGAGCGGCCGTATCAGCACGGAGCTGAACACCACGGGGAAATACAGTGTCCTGCAGGTGGAGGAAGTGGAGGTCTCTGACAGTGCCTTGTACCTCTGTGCTGTGCGAGACACCCTGGTGCAGGGAGCTCCCTGGGCTGTGCAACAAGCCAGGGGAGGGAGGGGATGTGTCTGTGCAAGGCTGAGCTTGGGGAAAGGGACCCTCCGCTGTCCCCTGGCAGCGCTGCTTCCCCTGTACACCCAGAGATCTGCAGGCTGAGCCCCTCTTCCAGGAGAGGAGAGTGTCAGTGGTCGAGGGGAAAGAGAAAGAGGGGAAACAGTTTCCGGATTGCTCATTGTCACTTATGGGTTCCGTGGTTCTTCTTCCCAACATCTCCAGGGAGTTGTTGGGCAATTCAGGAGGCTGAGACCACTTCTGCAACGATTCCTTGTGCTGCTCTTGGCTTTCTGCTTTTCCCTGCTGCCTGTGGCTTCTCCAGGGTTTCCACTGGGCTTGTCCCTTAGAGTACCTGCTCTGGGTTGTGTCCCTCAGAGTTCCGAGTTCAAAGTAGGGTGAAAAACATAAATAAGACGTTATCTGCAATGCTCCTTCCTTGAATTGCATGACTCTAACAATTTCTGAAAGTGCTCAGATGTGCCCAATGAAAACGTCTAGTTGCTGTGTGGCAGAAGAGAAGTGGAGGAGAGAGCAGGAAGTTGGGCTGCCTTTTATACCTGCCCTTCACTGCCACACAACCAGGGGCAGCCTGGATGACTCTGGTGGAGACACTTGAGGTGTCATCCTCAGGAAGAAGTTCTGCCACCCCCAACTGGACACTCATAGGCTGTTGTGCATGGGATGATGTCCCCTTGCCTTGTCTTTCTCTCTCTCCTCAGCTCACCTCGATGCTCACTTGTGGTTGCCTCCCCATGGGTGTGCACTGAGATGATGGTTTTGATTCTGTCCTGCCTAACGCTGCCCTCAGGAAAGTGCTCTGCACTATTTTGTCTCATCTCCACTTTGTGCAGTCTCTGAGTAAACACAGACTGCCCTGTGCTTGCCTGGCACCTTGTCCTTCCTCTCGATCCTCCAGCTCTGCTGCTTTTGACCTCAGGTGTCCTCAGCAGAGTCCACGGCTGACTGTGTGTTCCTGCCTTGTGTGCTCTTGGAGCAGCTGCGTTTGCACGGACACATGTGGGGGCACAAATCTGTGTGTGATTCCACACTGGTGTGCACGAGCCTGTGGGTGTGAGTGTGTGTGTGTGTCTTTGTGTGTGTTTGTTTCCGTCCATGTGTGTCCCTCATGGGAAGTTCATTTGCTGCCTATTCCAGGGATACCGTCCTCTGTTCTGGCCCTGAACTCCACAGAGCAGCAGGTTGTCAGGGTCAGAAGGCGCGTGGGTGCAGCTGAGTGCTGACGGCACCTGCCCCCTACAGCTGTGTCCAGGGAAGAGGCAGAGAAATGCAGGTTCTGCCTCCGGAGCCCTTCTCTTCCTGTCCGTCCACAGCTCTCGCTCCGCTGCTGCTGATTTCGGCCCAACAAGGCCGGTTTCACTGCAGCTTGGATGCTGAGTTGACCTCAGTGTAAGCAACACTGGCAGTGCCTCAGCACGCCTGGCAGCCCCCCGTGCCCCCTCCCCAGCCGTGAGGCTGCTGCTCTCAGCAGCGCTGCAGAGGTGAGGAGGGGCAGGTTTGCCTGGTGGGCAGGGAGAGAGGCTCCTGAATGGCGCCGACCGTGTGCTGCCAGTCCCGGAGTGGATGTGCTTCCGATGGCGTGTGGGTGGTGTCTGGGCTGGCCCCCAGCTGTGTGCTGTGGCTGGCAATGCCAAAGGGATTTGTGCCGCTGCTTGTGCTGGTGCTGTGCGAGGAGGGGGCTGAGCCCGGGCCGGGGCGGAGCTGGCGGAGGAGGGCAGAGGAGGGAGAATGGGAGGGGATGGGAGGGGAGGCGGCCCGTCCGGAGCCGAGAGCCGGGGCTGGCGGGGGCAGCGAGGCGCGGGCGGCGGAGCGGCGGGATGCGGCGCTGGCGGGGCGCGGGGCTGGCGGCGCTGGCCGCGGTGCTGCTCGGTGCGCGGGGCTGGCGGCGGGGGACGTGGGGGTCGGGGCTGGGGCTGGAGTGGCCGCGCAGGTCTCTGGAAGCTGCCGTCCCCTCTGGCTTCTTCACAGACCTCTGTCCTTGAATCATCCTCCCATCCATCCCTCTCTCTACACCATCCCGCATTCACGCCTCTCTTCTTTGTCCAACTATCACTGCACCTTCCTTTCCTCTCTGTCTTTCTTTCTTTCTTTTGCCTATTATTCACACAGTCATGTCTCCGCTAGTGATTGACATTTCTATTACTGCACATGTTGACATCCTCTGGATACTCTTCTCCTCATCATCTCTGTATGTCCCTGACTGCTTCTGCAGGATTTCTTCTGAGAAACAACTTACAGGACAAAAAGAAATTCTGATATTTTTCTTCTTTGTCTCTCTGGCAGTGGCTGCAGGCAGAGCCCAGGTGCAACAGGAGCCGTTGGCACAAACCCCCGAGGGCACCGAAATCACCATCAACTGCTCACACCCCCGTATACGGACCGGCGACACGGTCATATGGTACCGTCAGCTCCGGGGCCGAGGCCCCCAACTCCTCGCACTTATTCTTCAAGGCTCCAAAGATCTACCGGACAAGGCGGGTCAGGTGGCGGTGTCGCCAGACCGTCGCTGGAGCACCCTCTGTCTCTCCGGGCCCCGTGTTGGGGACGCGGCGGTGTATTACTGCGCCGTGGCAGACACGGCCAGAGGAGCCGGGGCTGCGGCCGGGCACGAACCGCCGCGGGCGGGGCCGGGCGGGGCCGGGGGCACAGCGCCGGCCGGGGCCAGCAGGGGCCGCTCCTGCACCTCCAAGATTTCTTTCTCAAACCATGTCCCGCCTTCCTGGGCCCCCTTGTTTCAAAGGGCTGCTTTCCAAGGGGCTTTCCGAATCGGTGTCCTCAACAGGCCCAAGTCCAACCTCCAGAAGTCGAGGGTACAGGTTTGGTTGATGCTCCTCCTCACTTCACCAAGTGTGGAAAACATGGTCACTGTGCTCCAGATGGCCTTTGATCACCACATCTCTCACCAACCCTCCTCTGTTTGCAAACAGCAGGTCTGGGTGCTGTATAAACTCCCCCATGATCAAAAATATTAAAATTCCACCGATGGCATTGGTCTTTATGCCAGAGCAGATGCAGGAAATCATACATAAGACTGTAGTGGCTGCCAAGAGAAAGTTTCACCAACCACAAGGGATGAGATGTACATGTTACAGCATCGTCTCCCCCAGATTGGCAGCCAACTCCTCAACACAAACCCTCTGTGGGGAGCAAGGAAGCAGTGAAGAGCTCTGCACCCACCTGCAGCTCTGCTGGGAAGTGGAATCCCACAATCCTTGTCCTTGCTGATGTGCCCATTCTGTAGGTTCCTGAACTGAGGGGCCCCGAACTGGACCCAATACTTAATGTGTGGCCTCACCCACTCGCTGTGTACAGGAAAAGAATCATTTCCCTGATCCTGCTGCCACACTGTTCCAGATCCAGACCAGGATGCCATTGGCCCTCTTGGGCACCTGGGCACTTTGCTGGCTCCTGTTCAGCTTCCTGTCAATCCACACTCCCAGCTCCCTTCCTGCCTGGCTGCTCTCCAGCCACTCTGTGCCCAGCCTGTAGCACTGCCAAGGGTTGTTGTGGCCAAAGTGCAGGACCCGGCACTCGGCCTGGTTGAACCTCATCCCATTGGAATCGGCCCATGGATCCAGCCTGTGCAGGTCCCTCTGCAGAGCCCTCCTGCCTTCCAGCTGATTGACACTCCCCCCCAACTTGGTGTCATCTGCAAATTTGCTGATGGTAAACTCAATCCCCTCATCCAGATCATCAATAAAAATATTAAACAGAACTGGGCCCAACACTGATCCCTGGGGACACCACTGGTGACTGGATCCCAAGTGGATGCAGCTCCATCCCCACCACTCTCTGGGTCCAGCCCTCCAGCCAGTTCCTAACCCAGCACAGAATGCCCCTGTCCAAGCTGTGGCTGCAGCTCTTCCAGGAGTGTGCCATGGGAGATGGTGTCCAAGGCTTTGCTGAAGTCCAGGCAGACACATCCACAGCCTTCCCTTCATCCACCAAGTGGGTCACCTGATTATAAAAGGAGATCAGGTTGGTCAGACAGGACCTGCCCTTCCTAAACCCGTGCTGGCTGGGTCTGATCTCCCGACTGTCCTGTAGGCACCATGTGATCTGCTCCATAATCAAGGTGATCTGCTCCATAATCTTGCCAGACTCTGAGGTCATTCTGACAGGTCTGGACTTCCCCAGATCCTCCTTCCAGCCATTCTTATGGATAGGTGTCACAGTGACCAACTTCCAGTCCTCTGGAACATCAGGAATGACAATAAATGATGGAGAGTGGCTTTCCTTTCTACAGATATGCAATTAAAAATTGAGTCCTCCAGCTACAGGCTTTCACAGAGCTTTCAAAATGTTCCTGACAGTGTTACAAAGTCATCCCACACAGTCAGGAGTGCAGGCTCCTCGCTCACAGAAGAAAGGAATGTCCGTGTCATGGGCACTTTCAAGTGCTCCCCACAATGGCTCAGTGTCAAGACTGAGTTTTATAGGTCTCATAAGCTTTGGAGTTGGACCCAGGAGACAAGGTGAAAGCTGGACTGGATACACTGATGCAGCCTCAAGGAGGGGCAGGTTCCTTCCTACTTGATGAGTGGTTGAGCATCAGATTTGCTAAATTGCCCTGAAGGGTTGGAGGTCTGAAGTGCATGAGAGCTGGTAGGAAGCCTCTGGGAAGAGGCTGAGGGCTCCAACAGGTCCCCAGAGAACTCTGTGTGGCTCCAGCAGCTTTTAGAACTGTTCAAAGCCCATGGTCAGAGGCTTCCAAAGCACAGAGCGAAGGATCAGTCCTGCTCCCTGTTCCAGCTGGGCTTGATAACTGTGTTTGCAGGGAACTACTGGCAGGTGGGCAAACAAGACAGAGCAACAGGCATGGCCAGGTCAGCACACGGATCAGACACAAATTCACACATCATTTGCCCCTCTTGTCCCTGTCTCCATCTGTTTCCCCACAGATGCTCCAGCCCGAACTGCCTGGATTCTTCCCTTTCCCTGCCTCTACTGCTTCTTCCAAGCATCCCATGTCTTGTACTATCCCACAATACTTTTTCCACTGCATCCCTTAATGATTCCTGATCCCCTTATAGGTAAAGATACCCAGTAGTTTATAACTGGCTATTATTCTCTCTTATCTTTCTTCTGGGAGGTATCATCTTCAGAAAAATGAGTCAATTTTGATACCTGAAGAGATGGAGAGAAGATGCTTTTAAAGAAGACCTTGTCTTCTCCTGCCAGAGAGAATCGGTGTGTCTGACTCTGGGTGGGATGTTAACAGCAGGTGCTATTTGGAGACATTTTAGAAGAGAGAGAAACTCCCTGTGAAGTGAGGGAGTCAGGCCCCTGCTCCAGGTACCATCAGGGGCTGCAAAGGTGCCTGTCTCCAGCCCTGGGAGAGTGGGGTGCAGGCCTTGGTTTCTGTCTGGGCAATGGATGGCAAGATACGGCAATGCACTTTCTGAGCCCTTTCTAATAACTAATGGTGTGAAACAAGGCTACGTTCTCGCACCAACCCTATTCACAGTCTTTTTCAGCAGGATGCTCCAAAGGGCCACGGCAGACCTCAAGGATAAGGATGGTATCTACATCTGATATTGTACTGATGGAAGCCTTTTCAACCTAAGGCGAATGAAGGCCCACACCAAGACCTTAAACCATCTTGTCCGGGAGCTGCTTTATGCTGATGATGCCGCCCTTGCTGCTCACACAGAAGCAGCTCTGCAGCGTTTAACATCCTGCTTTGCAGACGCTGCTGAGCTCTTTGGGCTGGAACTCAGCTTAAAGAAGACAGAAGTTCTCTATCTACCTGCACCTCAGGAAGTCTCCCATCATCCCCATATCACCATTGGCCAATCAGAGCTCAAATCAGTCCAGCAGTTTAATTACCTGGGCAGCCTCATCTCCTTGGATGGTAAGACTGACGGGGAGATAGACAACAGGTTAGCAAAGGCATATAGTGCTTTTGGAAAGCTTCATAAAAGAGTTTGGTGAAATAAACACCTGAAGAAAAGTACCAAGATCAGTGTTTACAGACCCATAGTGCTGTCTACTCTCGCATATGGATCTGAATCATGGGTCATCTACCGCCACCACCTGTGTCTCCTGGAACGCTTCCATCAACACTGCCTCTGTACAATCCTAAACATCCACTGGTCAGATGATGTGACCAATCCATCTGTTCTAGAACAAGCAGCAGTCACAAGTATTGAGGCCATGTTGCTGAGAACACAGCTGTGCTGGGCAGTGCACATCTCCAGGATGAAGGACCAACCACCCCCTCCCTAAGATCTTGCTTTATGGTGAACTTGCCACCGGCTGCCACAAGAGAGGAGCCCCAAAGAGGAGATACAAGGACTGCCTGAAACAGCATCTCAGCCTTGGCCATATTGATCACCATAACTGGTCTACTCTGGCCTCCATCTGGGAGGTCTGGAGACAGACCATCTATAATGCTGCTGATGCCTTTGAGAATGCACGCAGGATCACCCTTGAGGAGAAAAGACAATGCAGAAAGAATCGTGCCCTGCAGAATTTACCATCTAAGGAGTCTTTCTGCTGTGCCTTTTGCAACCGGACGTGTCTATCTCGTATTGGCTTTTTTAGCCACCAGCTCACTTATAACAAATGTGGGTAGAGCCCTTCCCAAATCTTCGTTCACAAAGCCCAGCCATGATGATGATGATGATGATTACTGTCCCAGGCTGCCAGAGGCATCCCTTGTAGAGGTGATATTTTCTTATAAACTCATCTTGAATGCAAAACATCCTAACTGGTGCCATGGGCTGTGGTTTGGCTTCCTGAATGTCTGGTTTTCATTTCCTGCTTTATTTCAGACAAATTTCCCAGTGAAGACTTTTTTTTTTTTAATGTGACAGGATGAGAGGCTCAAAACATATCAGCATGGGCAGAGGACTCAGATCACACGGATCACTGGAAGAGTCCAGTAAAGGCAAATTATGTTGATCTTGGTTACTCTTTTTGGCATCCTTGTGGCACTGTTAGCAAGAAGTGGCCAGTTCCTGGTTTTGACTGTATTTGATTTAACACTGTGTGAGGAAAATTCTGCTGGCCTGTTTTGTCTGTTCCTGTTCTGCACCAGGGAGGTGGCATGGGGAAAGAAGGTGTGCAGGGTCCCTTCCAGATTTCAGAAACAAAGCTCTGATAGCAAACGTCATAATAAAAGGGCTGTTTTAGCAGTATAAAATAAGAACAGAAATATGGATAGGAATTAAATCTTACATCGTTTCAGATGCTGGGAATCCTGGATTCATACAGCATTATACAGATCAGAAAGAGCTTCTGCTTCCCTCCCACACCGTGATGCCTTATATTTTGTGTAACAAACCAAACAAAAAACCAAATCATACATTTTCTCCTAACATGCTGAAAAGTTATTTCTGCCATGACACCCACCAAGGTGCAGCACAGACTGGCACTGAGCACTCCAGCAAATTCCCCTGCAGCAGTTCCTCATGGGAAGGTAGGGGCTTCCCAAACCTTCAGTGCAAGGCCCAACAGAGCAGACACGTCTTGCCCACGATCACTGACTTCTTCAATACAATGTTTTCTTCAAAGCTCACAATGTACCTCCTCTCTGGGCAGTCTCCAAACAACACCGTTAGCC